CGACCTTCGATCGTCTGGTCGAACACTTCGACAGCTTGCTTCGATTGCATACGAGGGACGGCGGATCGGCGTACGATACGAGATCGCCGATAGCCTAGCAACGCCCAAATCCGGAAGGCCTTGGCCTCACCCGACAGATATCGTGCGAAAAGACTTTCGGATTACGGCACCGCACGGCAGGATTTTTCGAGACTCTCGAGAGACGCTTTGAAAAGTTGACCGGCTGGGGGATGCATCGCTATAAAAGCGAGCAGCGTCGTGTTCGCCGATCGAATCACTCTTTGCAGCGCGATCGCGGTAATGTCGCGGTAATTTCGCGTGTCGAGAGTATAATCGCCGTAAGTACTTGGGGCGTTGGCTTTCGCGATTATCGCCTCGACTCAGGGAATATGCCCCGATCGGTGGTCGGTCCGATCCGGTCGCTTTCGATGGCTATATCGCTAATTGCGACACGTATCGCGCCCCCGTTTTCGTTTGCTGGTTTTATCGTCGATCGCCAATTCGTATCTTCTTTTCTCGACGGTCTTTAAACTGCGCCGCGATCGATCAAATTCTGTTGCCGTGCAGACGAACGGATTTCCAGTAATCGATAGTTGCAGTCTATTTCCATCTGCTTCGGTTATATCGACGCGCGCGTAACCGATGTTTATCACTACCTGTTCCACGCGCATAAATACTTTAATGGTTACATATTAGATTCGTGGCTCGATATGGTTTTGCGGGGGAAACATAGCTGGAAGATATAGAACAGTCATTCTCTTCGATAAAGGGAAGAGCCGGTCGAGTTTCTGGCAACTACCTGGCTACTAATATAGCAATTATGTTTGCCTGGCTAATCGGACCGAATTTTAACGAGAAGCTGAAACGGGGCTTGAGAAATTAACAAAAACTATTTGCAATGTCGAGTTTATAATTTTCCCTAAATTTCAAGACACGAATGAAACGACGGAAGTTACAAAATCTGGAAACTTACGAATGTAATAAATTATTTCTTTTTTTATTTTTTTTTTTTTT